ACTCGTTAAAGCCCTTCTTTTAAAGTATAACAATAATCGCACGTCGCTTTACCTTCAAAACCTAAGTGCTTCATGTGATACAAAATATTCCCTTTGGAAAGCCATAAAAAAGAACAACAGACCGATTGTCTATCAACCACCTATACGCAAAATCGACAACTCATGGGCAAAAAGCGATATTGAAAAAGCAGAAACATTTGCGTTACATTTGGACCAGGTCTTTAAATCAAATGATAACCAAAATATGCCTGATGTCATGAATCAACGGATTAATTTTCTACAAGAGCCTTATCAATTGGAACTTCCAATTAAAAGATATACTATTAATGAAGTTAGAGATGTAATAACAAAGTTAAAAGTAAAAAAAGCTCCAGGATACGATTTAATCACAGGCATGGCCTTGCAGCAGCTCCCACCAAAAGGATTTGTATTTCTCACTCATCTATTTAACGCTGTGATAATAAGGGGGTTTATTCCGCCACAGTGGAAGATAGCACAAATCTCTATGATACCGAAACCAGGGAAAAGCCCAGAAGACGTCAAATCATATCGGCCAATAAGTCTACTTCCGATCCTGTCAAAAGTTATGGAAATCCTGTTTCTAAAGCGCCTTACTCCGTTTATCCAACAAAACAGACTCATACCTGACCATCAATTCGGCTTTCGCCAAAAACATAGCACAATAGAACAAATTCACAGACTTGTCAGACATATCCATAGTGCGATAGATGGTAAAAAATATTGCACTGCGGCATTTATAGATATTTCACAAGCGTTTGATCGAGTATGGCATGAGGGCCTCCTGTTCAAACTAAAACTGTATCTACCTCTAAATTTTTTCATATTTATAAAATCATACCTCTCGGCTAGGCACTTTTTCGTTAAGCATGGAAACGAAACTACAGTATTTCATGATATAGAAGCAGGAGTACCTCAAGGTAGCATAATGGGACCAATGCTTTATCTTTTATTTACTGCGGATCTTCCCCTTACCGATGAGAGTGTTATCGGTACATTTGCAGACGACACAGCTATTTTATCAGTTGACAGTGACCCAATCCGTGCTTCCACCAAACTTCAAACCTGCCTTGATAATGTTGCTCTCTGGATGATAAACTGGCGTATTAAACCGAATGAATCAAAATCTGTCCAGGTAACATTCACTACAAAACGTTCTACGTGCCTGCCGGTCTTAATAAACAATACTCAATTACCACAAGCTGTAGAAACAAAATACTTGGGCATACATCTGGATAGTAAGCTAACCTGGAAATCGCACATATTTAAAAAGCGTAAAGCCTTGGGTCTTAAATTACGAAACTTATTTTGGTTCCTCAGCCGAAATTCCAAACTGTCACTTGACAATAAGCTGCTTATATACAAATCTGTACTTAAACCTATATGGAGTTATGGGGCCCAATTATGGGGTACTGCAGCAGACTCAAACCTGGCAATTATACAGCGCTTCCAATCTAAAACACTACGAATGATCACAAACGCACCTTGGTATATAACGAATGAACAGCTACATAAACAATTACATGTTCGAACAATCAAGGAAGAAATAGCAAGTATTTTAAAGAATTACGCTCAACGCTTATATATGCACCTTAACCCTCTGGTTACTCAACTGATGTCCGCTTCCAATACCTTTACAAGGCTGAGAAGAAAAACATCGCGAGACATTTTAAATATGTATATGTAGACAATACACTTTTATTTTAAATATATATGGATATGTCACTGGGCATAGTCCATACGTGCCTTTCTTTTTATATCGTAATAACCATTATTACGATTTAAATTTATATATATTACTTATTGTCATTCATTCCTGACAGATTGTAATAAATAAATGGGTTTCAAAAAAAAAAAAAAAAAAAAAAATAAAATGTATAATCTTCTTGTTTTAATATATAGACGATTATGTTATGACAGGTGTAGATCGAAATCATTAAATCTACTTACACCGACTTTATTGCAATATAGCTAGAAAGAAAGTACTTAGAGTTGTTTAGACATGCCCAATACGTCGAAATTTTTATTACAGGCAATACAACAGTTCAAGTTTTTTTAATTGAAAAATAATATAAATGGAAGTATGAAATTGGTACCACCAGTTCAATTTCATACTTCCTTGATCTAGTATGAAATTGAACTGGTCCTTGATCTATTGAAGTGTATTGCTTTAACAGCCGAACAATATTAAAATTGTATTAATGTTCTGTTAGTTAATTGTTTAAAATTTTATAGACAGAACTATAAAATAGTTAGAACATTATTATTTAAAAAAATAGGCTATTTGTGCACCCCGACCTAAAAGATCTATTGTGCGCCTATAGGCCCAACTAGGACAATTTTAGACTATTTATAAATCTTATAATTGCAGTGGGCTTAATTTTACCTATTTGATTTGGGACCAGGATCCCGCTACCAAGGTAATCGAGTCTACGTCTTGCCACCGCTGGGCAGTTGCATAGAACATGTTCCGATGTTTCCTTCTCCTCATGACAGAGTCGACAGGAATCACTTTCTACCGCACCTATAATCTTCATGTGGTAATTAAGTCTACAGTGCCCTGTAAGAAGTTCAGTGTAGATTTTGATATCATTTCTGCTAAGGTTGATGATAGCATCAACTTTGATGTGTTCAGGATCAATGAATCTTTTTGACTGTCGCATGCCTTTTTGGGCTCTCCAGTGTTCAAGTAGATGCTGTTTCTCCCGTTCACATAATAAGTTGTTTGTGAAGCTATTTGTTACCCCGCAGAAGGGCTCTGGCCCAATGAAAGGAGTACATGCACCCTTCTTTGCTAATATGTCTGCTATTTCATTTCCCTCATGCCCCTCGTGTCCCGGTACCCACATAA